AATCAGATCTGTATTTAATTCTTTAATTACCAAAATGTCCCTGTCTCTCGAGAATTTACAAAATTAGTCTCATCAAAGACGGCTACCCTCGTTTTAACCTAATGTCATATCTCATTTTTTGACTTCTCCAACACTAGTCCGTGATCATGGAGTATAACTTTTCCAATTCCTTCCTTCATAAAAATGAAAGAAAAAAGATAATTTGAAGTCTGATTCAGCCCCAGAATGAAACCAATCAAGAAACCACAAAGTCACATGAACATACATATGCAGTACCACCCACAGTACCTTTGTTTAAAAATTATCTTTTCCTTAACCAATAAGAAAAATAAAAGTATCTTCTCCTTGAAAAGAGAAGTATGGTAATAGCTCTAACATAGCCAACCCAAAAAGGAAAAAAAAAATTGAAATAATTTTTTTAATTAACCAAAAAGAAAAAATATTAGAGAATAAATCTATTCCAACCTAAAACAATCAATACGTTTTTTAACTCTGATAACAATCAATATGAACTAATTGCAAAGTATAATTCAGAAAAGGAAAAGATAAAATAGAATGGTTATTTGGGCCATACTCTTCACTTCTACTTTACAAGGGCTTTTTTTCGTCAAAGATGCAGCAGGTTTTTCCACCAAATTGTTTGATTTTCCTTGTAACGCTGCTTTGACAGGCTTTGATGCACGGATCATATCAAAAAGTCCATCCTCTGTAAGAAACAACGTGCTACACAAAGAAACCAAAACTATGAATATACAGAAATAATAAGCAAGGAACAACATAAATTTGAAGGCCAGCTACATATGGATCAGCAATAACAAACCCAAGTTCCTTGGCTTTGCTAGATTTCCGTCCCACTATGTCTTCATCACATAAAAGATAATTCTGCAGAAGGAAAATGTTAATCTCATGTCAATTCTGCAACACTAGTCTAAGAAATATAAGCTGGAGTAACTTTATACCGTTTTCTTGCTGACAGAGCCAGTGACACGGCCACCATGTCTCTTAATTAAATCCTCTGCTTCTTCTCTTTCCAAACTGTAAGGTTAACAAAGCATTGAAATCAACAAGATAATGTAGTAGCAAGATAAAGTATTTGACCACACACAAGTTATAAACTACATAAATGAAATGAAATACCTGTCAAGTGTTCCACTAATTACAAATGTTAAACCAGCTAAGCAATCACGCGCACCTTCAGGGACTTCCTGAAACCCGAAGAAGCATGAGTATTTACAATCAAGGACAATTCAGTTATAGGAGTGATCAAGTCAGACTTCACCTTTTCTCCTTTATGTGGAGGCTCTTTTCGCTCCCCAAAATTCATAAACCCACCCCGTCCACCTCCTCGGCCTCTCCCACCAGATGGTGCCCCAAGTGCACCTCTACCCCCGCGGCCCCTTCCCCCAGGCTTGGAAGGAGACGCTGCATCTTTAACATCATCTTCATCAGTTTGATCAACATCTACAGTCTTTTGCGGAACTCCTCTACCTGACGCACTCTTCAATTTCTTACTGGGAGTTGCATCATCATGGTTCTTTTTGGATTTGGATAAGACAAAATCGTCATCCTCATCATCAATTTTATTGTGCTTCTTCAAAGGCGGGGGCTTCAATGATTCCTTAGAATCATTCTGAAGTTTTCTCTTGACTGGAACTTCCTCGACTCTCTTTTCATCTTGTGGCTTTTGTTTGTCAGTAGCAAAATACTTGCTAGTCTTCCTTCTTCCGGAACTTTCTTGGCCTCCCTGCACCTTTGGTTGTTCGAGCTTATACAAATAAGCAAGTATACTTTACTCCAGTACTACAAACTTGTATGCAGAGTATACATGTCACTTTCTACAGATAAGGAAAAGAGCAAGGGATATATGCCTATGAATGCCTCTCTTAAC